CTCACTTCTTCAGCCCGTTCCTACTTGGGGATCCTTCAGTTGCGAGTTCTGTCTGCTGCTGGTTCCAGAAGTGCATTCCCAAACTGCACTCACCAGAGGGTGTGTTTGAGAACCCATTGTGGCTCATTTTTGAGACAAACTTTGAGCTAAAACTTTATTGATCATCTGATCTCCAAGATCCCCTTTGATTGATACACATCAGTGGAGTTTGGGTCTCTTAATAAATAGTGCGGCAGTCCAGCCTGGGCAACAGAGCTGGACCCTGTCTCAATAATAATAATAATAATAATAAATAATATCAGAGTAGAGCTAATTTCCAGTGGTCCTCCAAGTCTAGAAATTCTGCCTCCCCCATAATATCCAGTTACCCAGGCAAATGGCTGCAGACTTCTTTGGGAAAGGTAGGCGGAAGAGCTACGCTATAAATTGTTGGCAGCGTAGTAAGATTCTTCTTCAAGGGGACCTTGCTTCCTCTTTCCTTGTTTAATGAGTTCTGGGCCTGTGAATTGGCTCATGTCTGGGAATTCAATGACGTATTCTGACTTTCTCTTATGGTCATCAAGTCAGATTTTTGTTCATTTAAGCCACAACTTTCTGTTTAGACAAATGAAAAAAATACTTCAGTAGGCTGCCCTGTTCAGTTCTAGGGACACTGTTGTCTTTGTTTTGTGTTGCTATACCAGAATACCACAGACTAGGAAATTTATAAATAAAATAAATTTATTTCTTACAGTTCTGGAGACAGAGAAGTCCAAGGTCAAGGTGTCTGCATCTGGCAAGGACCTTCCTGCTGCATCATCCCATGGCAGAAGGTGGAAGGGCAAGAGATCACGCTTTAGAGAGAGAGGAAGGTGGCCAAACTCATCCTTTTATTCAGAAACCCACTGCTGAGATAACTAATCCACTCTCCCAGTAATGATATTAATCTGTTTTTGAAGACAAGGCCATCATGACCTGATCACCTCTTAAGGTCCCACCTCTCAGTACTGTTGTATTGGGGATTAAGTTTTTAACACAAACTTTGGAAGATACATTTAAACTATAGCATTTCACCCGTGGCCATCAAAATTCATGTCCTTTCAACATGCAGTATCCATTAATTACATCACGGTGGCCTCAGAGTTCTTAACTTATACAGCATCAGTCCAGAGTCTCATCTAAATCAGGTATGAGTGAGACTCATGAACAGTTCATCCTAAAACAAACTCCCTCCAGCTTTGAGCCTGTGAAATCAAAACAAGTTACCTACTTCCAAAATTCAATGGTAGAACAGACATATGATTGATATTCCCATTCCAAAAAGTGGAAATAGACAAGAAAAGGGGTAACTGGTCCCAAGTGAGTCCAAAACTCATCAGAGAAAACAACATTAGGTTTTAAAGCTGGAGAATAATCTTCTTTGACTCCATTTCTCCCATTCTGGGCACACTGGAGTGGACGTTAGCCTCCCCAAGGCCTTGGGTATCCTTGCCTCTATGACTTTGTTGGAGCGAGCCCACACTTCGGCTCTCACAGGCTGGCATCTCATGCCTGAGCTTCTCCAGAGTTGTGGAGTTGCACTGGTAACTCTCCATTGTGGAGTCTCTGAGATGGCCTTGTTCCCATGACTCCATTAGGTATTGGCCTAGTAGGGGCCCTCTGTGGTGGCTCCTGCTACAACAAGTTTGTTCCTGGGCCCCAGGCTATATACTACATCCTTTGAAATCTAGGTGGAGGCTGCTGTGGCCCCATAGCTCATGCAGTCTGCAAGTTTGCAGTTAGTACCATGTGAATACCACTATGACTTACTGTTTGTGCCCTCTGGAGGTGTGGCTGGGGCTCACATTGTACAGAAATGCAGGGAGCAGAATCCTAAGTTTCCCAGGCAGGAAAAGCTGAGGCACCTTTCTGGAAACCTTGCCCTCAGGGCCCTGCTCTAGGCCTGTGATGGGAGGGATGGCCTCCAGGATCTCTGAAGGAATTTAGGGTCTTTATCCCATTGTCTTGATGAATAGCACCCTGCTAGTTTCCATCTCTACTTAGCTTTTTAGAAAATGGTCAGTTGACCACAAACCCTTGGTTTCTTCTGCTAAACATGCCTTTTCACACTTAATATTGCCAGGCTGCAAATTTTCCAAATTTTTCCATTCTGCTTCCATTTTAATTATAAATTCCAAATTCAGTTTCTCTCTACTCACATCTTACTATGTGCAGTTAAGAGTAGCCATGCAGATCTTTCGTTATTTTACTTAGAAATTTCTGCCACCAGATACTTGAGTTCATTGCTCTTAAGTTGTGCTTTCTGTAAGCCCTGGGGCATGGCTACAAATCAGCCAAGTTCTTTGTGACTTCATAAGTATGGCTTTTGCTCCATTTGCCAGTGCCTTGTTCATTTCCATCCGATACCTCATCAGAATGGCCTTCCTCGTGTGCTTCTACCAGCATTCTGATTGTGAACACTTAAGTAATTCCTAAGAAGGTTAAAGCCCTCCCTGCAGCTGTTGTCTTTTTCTAAGCCCTGACCAGAATTTCCCTTAATGCTTCCTTTATAGCAAACCAGGCTTTTTACAGCCATTTTCTCCAAGTTCTTCTAGTCTCTACTCATTTCCCAGCCCCAAAGCTGCTTCCACATTTTTAGATATTTGATATATCCACAGCCCTAATTCTTTGTTCAAGCTTTCTGTTTTAGTCCATTTTGTGTTGCTGTAAACAGAATATCTGAAACTAGGTAATTATAAAGAAAATAAATTAATTTCCTTCAGTTTTGGAGGCTAGGAAGTCCTGGGTTGAGGGGCCTTCATTTGGTGAGGGCCTTCTTGCTGTGTCATCCCATGGCAGAAAGCAGAGGAGCAAGAGAAAATGTACAAAAGAGAGAAAGGAAGGGGACCAAAGTCATCTTTTATCAGGACCCCGCCCCTGTGATAACTAATTCACTCCCCCAATGACAGCGTTATTCCACTCAGGAGGGCTCTCCTTTCAAAGGTCCCACCACTCAACACTGTTGCATTGAGGATTCAGTTTCCAGAACATGGGCTTTGGAGGAAACATTCAAACCGTAGCCACTGTGATCAAGTAGACATGGTGAATATTTCTGTGCTCAAACTCCTCTGCAGCATTAGTTCTGTTGGTTGTGATGGCAATACCCACCTTGTCTCTGGATGCTAAGTGCTCCCCTTGTCCTCTGCCACACTAATATCCCATCTTCTGGGTGAATTCAAGGAACCCACACAGATGGCAGCAGTTCCCACATTAGTTCCTGGCCCACACGAGAGCCAGGTATATATTCGCAGATGCCAGGGATCCCCCTTTAAATGTATTTCTCATGGCCTCGGTGAAAGGGGGCATCCCTAGGACATAGCCAGGGGATTGGCAAACAGGTCTCCCATCATCAGGCAGATCCAACATTCCAATCTTGCTAAGCCTTTGAGGAAAGTTCTGACGTTTCAACTTCATTGAGCTTCGCCCACTTTTGGAACAGGTGTCACCCAACCCAGCACTAACACACTGAGCCCAAGTTGGTGCTCTCATGTAAAAACCTGCCCTATTTACATACTGATTCTCTTCCAACTAGAATGTGAGCTAATTGAAGACAATAGATGTAACAGTTCTTTCCACTGTTGACTAGAAGAGAGCCTACTAGAGTGCATTGTCAGGATGGTCAGTGGTATTTGTTGAATCAGGGACTGGTTGGTTCCTTATGTGTTCATTCAACAGATATTTATTGAGTATAGTGCTCAGGAATAACAGCAAGCAATAGATCTTTAGAAGTGGAAGTTATCTGAATGATTACGAGGCAGAAAGATGGCCAGGGTTGTGACAGCAAAGGTAGAGGGAGTTGGGGGTGTGAGATGACGTTTGGAGGTAGACAGTGACCATGCTTTGCAGCATGTAGTGGGTTACTGTGTGAGGAGTTTTTGTCTGGTATTCCAAGTGCAGTAGGAAGCCCCAGGAGTGTTTTAAGCCAGGGAGTGACAGAATTTTATATTTCAAGTTTACAGTGCCTGTTTGGAGAATAGGTTTAGTAAGACAAATTTGGGAGCAGAGAGATTAGTTGGAGGACTGTTTTTTATTCCTTTAGTGAAGACACAGTGTAGCTTGAACTAGGGCAGGGTGGGGATTGACATCTCCCTGTCCACCTGCTGTTGTCACTAGTGCCGTGATGAAGCCTTGTGCTGTATAGCATGCTGTGGGGCAGCTGCTGTGGGACAGTGACTGCAGTGCAAGCATCTCCCACTTGCTATGGTGGCAGGGTTGAAAGCAGACCAAGGTGGAGCCAGATAGATGGAAAGGAGTGGAAGGTTAGAGTGGCAGATAGGGGGCTTGTTTCACACAGTGCAGCAATTGCAGCGGACTTCTCTAGCATCTTACAGAGTACACTCAGCAAGCGCTCGAATGATACTATTTTTACCAATCAAGTTGCCTAATATATATAAAACTTAACAAACAAAGCTAAAATGTGTACCACTTATTATTTTAGTGTTAATATGCTGCATAGATGCAGTCTATGTGTAATTCTAAATAAGAAGTTGGCTGGGCACAGTGGCTTATGCCTATGAATCCCAGCACTTTGAGCAGCTCTCGAGGCAGAGGGATCACTTGAGCTCAGGAGTTCAAGACCAGCCTGGGCAACATGGTGAAAGTCCATCACTACAAAAAAATACAAAAATTAGCCAGGCATGGTGTTGGTGGTATGTACCTATAATCCCAGCTACTTGGGAGGCAAAGGTGGGAGCATGGCTTGAGCCCAGAAGGCGGAGGTTGCAGTCAGCTGAGATAGTGCCACTGCACTCCAGCTTGGGTGACAGAGACAAACCCTGTCTTAAAATAAATAAATAGTCATAGTAATTTTAATTTTCAATCTACTTGTTTTATAAGATAGATTATAATGTTTAAATCATGCTCTATAAAAGTATAATGAACAGTTTAGTATATGAAGTTACATATATTAATAGTATGTTTTACAGACTAAGGAATTTTTATTATATTTTATTTAAACTATGTTTTTTATTTTTAATCCAAAGTACCAAGATACGAATATGCAGGGAGTTGTATATGAACTAAACAGCTACATAGAACAACGGTTGGACACAGGAGGAGACAACCAGCTACTCCTCTATGAACTGAGCAGCATCATAAAAATAGGTAAGAAACATTTTGTGTTCCTCTTAGAAAAATTGGGCCAAGATTCTTTTACAAAAAGCAGCAAAGAATAATTTGCTATACTAAGAGGCAGATGAAAATCATTTATATTTACTTCTATTTCCGGAGTAAATCTGAAGCGAAAATATTTTATTATGAAATTACCAGAGTTAGTCAAACTTAAAAATTTCTAAATTATCTAATCCCAAATATCTGCATGATGTATACATGTAATATACTATTCTTTCGAATTAATACCTAGTTTCCTTTGGAAAGTATAGTTTTATTGAATTAAATCACATCTTTATAAGAGATATTAATTTTAAAGAGAGAATAAGCATTTTAAATGTATTTGGGTAAATGACAATTTTATTACATAGACCATGTAAGAAGTGTTCTATGTTCTGAATAGAATGGGGAAAGTTATGTCAAAAAAGTACTGTTTTAGAAGGGTGCACTTATTTTTAGGACATGATTTTTCAGAAGGATACCCACTCTGACAATTGTATCTTTTTTAAATTTGAAAATCAAAATATTGATGTTACCAACTGTAATGATTACATGTATTATTTTATTTAACTATATGCTATGCACTTGTGTATGCATATTATATGCATTAACTGACTTATTTGTATTATGGCCTCATGAGGTTGTTTTCATTATTACCACCACTTTACTGATGAGAATGCTATAGAACAGAGGGGTTAAACATCTTACCCAAAGTCACACAAATAAAAAGCAGTTAAGTAGGGGTTTAAATTCAGGCAGTTCTTCTAAGACTTATGCTATTAACTGCTTTAGTTGCCTTCAGATGACCCTGAAGCAATTTTTAGTAAGTTAAAATATGTTTGCTTCAGTGACAATTACAGATGAATACATCAACTTTTTTGCTTGATGCTTATTTTGGTTATTTAATATTATAAATATCACTTATGGTATTTTAAAGACTTTAAAACTTAAATACAATCCTCCAATTTTAAAAATACTCATCAATAATTCTGAATACTTAAAGTCCAATGAATATGTTACTACATAGTACATTGACTGCTATATGCATTTGAGGATGTCATATCTTAAATTTTATACTCACTGGTGAAAAATATAGAAGATATTTTAATGATGCTATTGAGTAAAGCTGTAAATGATTTTGTTCCATTTACTGCATGACCATTGATTCTGTTAACAAATCAGCTTGAAAGACATCTGCCTGTCACTGCAGAGAATGCATCCATGTCAGATTCTCCCACTGAGCTCAGTTTCTTCCTTTTCTTATTACTTTGGCAGCCACAAAAGCTGATGGATTTGCACTGTATTTCCTCGGAGAGTGCAATAATGTAAGTATCTAAAGTTAGATTTTGGTGATCTAGATAAGAAAATATCATAAGGTCTTTTTTTAAAAAAAGTCACAAACAACAGACATTTCATGATTAATTACTTTTAATTTAAATTGATTTTGTATTTTGTTTCTATATTTGATTATTACCCGTCGAGAATTTTACTGACATGGCAACATTTAGGCATAGACTCGTGTGTGTGTGTGTGTGTGTGTGTGTGTGTGCGCGTGTGCGTGTGCGTGTGTGTGTTTCTTTAGCTTTGGTTTGTGGCACCCTACATTATAAATGATGTTTCTAGATTAGTGTTTTGTATAAAAGTGATTCGGCACCGTGAGCTGGGATGCTGTAGAGGAGTGTCCGTGCCCTCCCTACACATGATCTACAGTAGAATAAAACGAGAACAAGAAGTTTAACGTTTTTCTGGGTGAGTTTTAAAGTTTTTGCAGATGACTAAAAGTTCTAGGGCATAGTCCCAGGGCTCTAGGTCTACATCCCTAAGCTGCCTTAGTGTTGCAGGCTCAGGCCAGTCAAGGCATGAGGATTCTCAGCTGTGGCTGTTCCAGTCTTCTGCCAGCAGGCCGGATTCTGTGTTTCTGGTCTAACTTACCTGGAGCACAGTCCACCATAAAAGGCAACATGTACAGGCCCTTTCCAAAGTATTTCAGGATGTTCAATTACTGACATTTGATTTTTGATATGGTATTAATTCTCAGCAAACTAACACAAGAACAGAAAACCAAACACGACATGTTCTCACTCGTAAGTGGGTACTGAACAATGAGAATACATGGACACAGGGATGGGAACATCACACACTGAGGCCTGTCTGGGGTTGGGGGCTAGGGGAGGGATAGCGTTAGGAGAAATGCCTAATGTAGATGACGGGTTGACAGGTGCAGCAAACTACCATGGCGTATGTATACGTATGTAACCTGCATGTTCTGCACATGTACCCCAGAACTTAAAGTATAATAAAAATAAAACATACCATGTGCATATTTTAGCATAATCTGAGCCAATAATACTTAAATAATTTTAATGTAGAAATTTCTTCATGAATTTATTTGGAAGATTTTTACTTTACATTTCTTATGTATTAGACATTAGTATTTGAGATTTGGAGTCTATTTTTGCAATATGCTACCTGTATTCTTGAGTAATCAAGATATATGTTACTTACATTATATACAATGTTACTAGGAATAGAGACAAAAGCATTCTGAGATTTCTGATAAGACTCTTAAAACAGTTTTGCAAAGTGTGTAGATAGTTACACACAAATGTTTATTGGCTGATTTCATTAACTTATAGCTTATTAATTTCCATGGCCATTGTTTTCCCTTGTATTGTAATAACTTACGCTTGTTACTTCACAAAATTAAAGACTGATTTAGGGCAAGGAACTTTTTGCATTTATTCTTGTATTTCCCAAGCCCCACTCCTAATGCCTTTCATATAAGCAGTCAGATAAGAATATTTATTAATTTGTATTACTCAGATATTACTACCACTTTATTTCAGACACTGGTATTATTCTAAAATGGCTAAGCTACTAAAATAACAAATGTATATTTTTTCTGTGCATTAAAAATTATTTTTAAAATGTTGAAGTTTTTATTAAAAGTTAATAATTTCTTTTAGAAAAAAATTATACAGTTTGCCATTATTTTTAATTGGCTGATAGGTGGGGAATGCACTGTATCGTGGTCCACGTTGCATTACTCCTCCTGAGTCGCCACCAGCAGCCCCTAGTGTTGCCACACAGCTGTGCTCACATCCAGCCCCTTACCCTTGGGTTTCTAGCTCATATCAAGGGTGGACATGTTGCCCATGAGGGCCGCAGCAGATTATTTGCTAAAACCTGTATCTTGGACTTAGTAATTATAGCTATTCACCTGAACAAAAGTGGTAACAATCCTGAAGTTGAGGCTGCCTCTACAGGATGGTCTTCCTGCCCCGTGGAAAGAGAATAGAGAGAGCTGCTGGGCAGAAACCAAGAGGTGCAGGCACCAGGCACCCTGTGGGCTACAGTGGGTGGGAGCCCAAATGCTGACTTCACAGGGCTTGGATTTAGGTTCCAAAATCCACATTTTTAATCACTTGGCTTTTAAACTAATTTTTTTTTGCTTTATTTGCAGACTTTATACATTGACCTCAATGAAGTGGTTTCCTCTTATGATTCAGCAAAAAACTTCTCTGTCTACAATATCTAAATTGTAATTATATGTATATCAATTTGAACTATTTCATCTTTACTTACCTTTTACTTTAGTAGCTTAAAGGACTTGGTACAATATCCTGCCAGTTTTAGTCTGGCTTCTTATGCTAAACTCCTAAGGTCAGTCAATTTGCTCTGCATGCTTCTCTCTAGGGGCACTGATGCTCTGTTCTTTCTTTCCTGCATCTCAGGGACTGAGTCTGTCTTCTTCAGTGTAATATCCCTATGAACAGCAGAGTACATAGCAAAATTATAGCTGTCTCTGAGCTTCCCAAGTCAGATCCCACTGTATTTTGCTTTCTCAATGTTATATACTTCTCCTTCATGGAACATAACGGAGTCTGTGATTACTGTATATGTTTGTCTTTGATTTGAGTGACTATTTGTTTACCTGGCTTTTTTGCTAGAATATAAGCTTCATGAAGGTAGATACTTTATCTGCCTGGGAGGATAATTCTTGGGGATAATTACTGTGTTTCGCTCACTCTATTTTTCCGTTTATGCATTCCACCTTCATAGCTAAGCCCTTATTATTTTCTTAACCCAGGGATTTCTGTGGGTCGAAGGAGACATTGCCTGAGAAGTCTTAAATTCACTCAAGTGTTTCTTTAGATGTATTTACATTATTACTACTTTCTTTGTTCTTCATTTCTTCTTGTATTTCAAGTCATCCATTTGGGATCATTTTTCTTCCATCTGAAATATAACCTCTAGAATTTCCCTTAGTAAGAGTTTGCAGTTGGAAAGCTCTCTCAGTTTGTGTTTGTTTGAGTTTGTCTTTATTTCACCCACTTTCTTGGAATGTATCTTTAGTAGTTAAAGAGTTTAGGTTGATAGCTTTCTGAATATTGACTAAAATAAAGATATTGTTTTTTAGTTTATTTTGCTTTTTATTTTAGTTTTTTATTTCCTGTACATAGTTTCAAGCTTGTCTTTTATTTTTTGAAATACATTAACTATTCTTCTTCTATGTTCTTTGAATTTACAGTTTCTTGGGTTTTGTTTCCTTTAACTCTGACAGATGGTGACTACTTTGCTTATGTGTTTTATGGTTTTCTTTTTATTTTTCCTTTATCTCTCTCTCTTTTCTCTCTCTCTCACTGTGAATTTATTCTTCCTTATGCCCCTTAAATGGATACTCTCAAGGCTTGTTTGAAGTGCCTTTCCAGTTCCTTTTTGGAAGATAGATTTGCATTTGTTTCTGCTAGTCCCTTGAGGTGCTGATTATCTGGTTGAGTTTTTTTTTTCAGGCTACAAAATAGTATGGATTCAAAAGTCAAATCCACATGATGCACAATTATGACTTCTTAGAGGAGATTTTTATTTTCCCTCCAATACTAATTTCAAAATAATTTGGTTTCCTTGCAGCTTCTTTGCTGGGTTAATTGTACTTGTCCTTCGACCTAGGATGAATGTTTGGCCTGCTGCCTGTCCTGGCCCTCTAAAGTGGTCTCTATTTAGACTTCCCCCACAAAAAGGCCCCAACTTTTCTCTCCTGTCGTCTCCTGCTCTTCTTGTGGCTTTCCCAGGAAAAGACCAATCTATTCAGTCCTTAGTTAATGTCCTCAAGAGATAGCTGGCTTTGAGATCTGGTTACATCCCACGGTTCCTTTATTTACTTCCTTTTAGATTTCTGTGGATTCCTTCCATTCTTCTCAGCCCAGCAAAGTAATATAAAAGATGGGTAAAATATATTTTATGCAGCCTTTAAATAAATTTGAAATTGTTTTTGCAAAAGTGTCAGTCAAATGATTTAATCTGCCGTATTGATTGCAATAGAAGATATGATTCTGAAATGTAACTAACCATATTAAATAAAACATCTCTTGCATAGGTAAGCAGATACATGTATATATTTTTGTATTTCATCTTTTGCACATGAAAGGTAGCATAGTATACATAATTATCAATCTTTAAAAAATGTGTCTTGATAGCAAAAAAAGCCTTTCTTAAGTAACTCAATTTCACAACAAAAATTATATACTTTAGTGACAAAATCATAATAAAAACCAAATAGACTGAGAAATTTTTTTGTCCATATCAACAAATACTAAAGGTTAAAAAAAGAAGGGATTATACAGTTTTACACTTATTAAAGTACTAATTTCTTCTCAGTCAGTAGAAATAATTAAATTTCTGAAATTGATGTAATGAGAAATATAACTTAAATAGCATTTAAATATGTCAGAAGTTCTGATAGAATTTAAAAATGCACATTCATATAACCAGAGAGGAAAAAATCTTCTATGTGTTTTCTTCGTATCGAACATTTAGCAGAAGATAAAAACAAACTAAATACTAAAAAGCACTAAAAGTAAAGCATAAAATATTGCTGTGGAAATCATTATGGGATTGTAACAAAATTACTTGTAAAGAAGATCCAACTGTTAAAAGAAAAGAAATTAAATCAGGTTTAAAAAACCAAACTGTCTTTTATTCTGGTGCTTTGAAGTTTCTGAAGCAAAATGCAGAAAAGGAACAGAATTGAGGTAGTATTTTGCTTATTGAGAGATCATGAAAACAACTTAGAAAAGATTATCAATACCATTATTATTTATCTGAATAATATACATACTAAACTCAGTATATTAGGTTAGGATCTACCAACTTGTGGTTCCTTTTCTTTTCTGGGCTAGACCCTACTTTAATGTGTTTAACTTCTATTTAAGAATTCTTCATGGAATTCCTATAATGGCTAAAAACAAAGGAGATTGGAGGGCTCAGAAGAAGATAGGAAGATGAGGGAAAATTGAAACTTCTGAGAGACTTGTTGAATGGTTGT